TGGAGCAGCTCCTCCGGCAACATCCAAGCGCTTGGGGTGATGCCAAAGCTTTGGGATGGGGATGCCGCTCGCTCCCAGCACTGGCACCGGGGATTTGGCAGCTTTCCCTTGGGAAAGGGGGGGGATTTCTGCTCCTCGGATCGCTGGGAGACGGGAGTCGGGGGCTGGGAATCGTCCTTGTCGTCACCTTCCTCCTCAGCCAGGTGGGAATGAGCGTAGTGGTAGCTCAATCCCGGCCGGTTCTTGTACCGCTTCCCACAGACTAGGGATAGAACCGGGAAGAATCAGAGCAGAGCCCGGCATGGAGCGACATTCCCGCAGATCCCGAAGCATCCGGCACCCCCCGGTCCCGTCTCCGGGCTTTGAGAGCCGAAAGCTGCTCCCATTCAGCCCCAAAAGCACTTGGAAGGTATTAATATCCAGTTCGGAATTCCCTAAGGAAAGGGGTTGGGGGTGGAAGCTCCAGATCGGGGCTGGGGAAGCCTCCGCCACGCATCCCACTGGATTTCGTGGGTGTTCGGGAGCGAAGCCACACCAGGATCAATCCAAGTGGGAAAAACCTCATTGGAATGATGCATTTCCCACCCCAAACCCCATCTCCTAAAGCAGCTGGGAGGAATTCCAGGCTGTTTCCAAGGTGAAGAAAGGGGAAACTTCCAATTTTTGGGAATCCAAGGGAACATCCCGGCTCCACTCCCTCCGGGATCCACTCAGCTCCTCCAAACCTGCCCTGGGGAAACTGCACCAGGAACTGAGCACGTTCCGCCCCATTCCTTGCGGAACGAGCTTCCTTAGGGAAAGGTCTGAGCATCCATGGATTGGGAAGCACCTTCCTGGCCAGGGAATGGGCTCCTGGGTTACTAACACTGGTTTTCCAGGGGGTTTGGGGGGAACTGGGAGGCTCCAGGGACCCCCAAAGCCCAATTCCCAGCCTGGATACACTCAGGCAGGAAGAGCAGAGCCAGATCCGGCCTTCCAGAGCCGGCACGAGGATGGGATTGGGTTGAAATCCCTCTGGAAGACGCCAGAGGAGGATTTAGGGGCAGATTTAGCAATGGATTTCCCCACATCTTTCCATCAGGGCATCCGGGAAAACCAGGGAAAAGGTCACTTTGGGATGAGATTCCCTGAGCTTGGAGCTTTTCTGTAACATCCCAACCTTCCTGGATCCACTTCCAGGCTTGTTTGATGCTCCCCAACTAATTGGAAGCAGCCGGGAACGGGGCTGGAGCCCCATGGAAGCAGCAGCGTTGGATTTTGAGGATCGAATGCACAGCTATTCCCCTTGGGAATACTGCTGGATACTCGCTGTCTCCAGGGAAAACTCCGCATGGGCAGGTCTGGAATGCCGCGGGCCCAGCGGAGGGGGCCAAGAGCAGCCCAGAACCAGCAATTACAACCTTATTACATGGAATTCCAAGGCTCCGGAGCCGAGCCGGGGCACGGCCGGGTCAGGCCCCGGAGCAGCCACCCGGAGCTGGCAGGAGGCGGCTCCTTCCCAACCCCCTGCAGCTTAAAAGTGCCTCTTTTCCAAGCCCAAATCCAGCCAGGAATGCGAACACAAAGCGGGATCCTTCCAGCCTCTCCATGAGGAAAAGGAGCCACCGCCGCGGCCATTCCCACCTTTCCAAGCCCCCGTTATCCCGTTTGGGAGCTTCTTTTAAGTGGGAAAACGTGTTATTTTGGGCAAGAGAAGCAGCACTAAAGACGTTGGCGGCTCTTCAAAGGCCGCGGCGCATCCCGGGAGCCGGGATCTGGGAAGGCTGTTGTGGATACTCCATGTTTTCCCTCCCAGCCCCGCAGCAGGAGAGGGATTCATCTTTGTTTTCCCTCTCGTGCC